CCTGTTTGCTTCAGTGCATGGCTGCCGGCCGCCATCTTGGCTGACAGTTAATTTGCATAAGGATATGCTGATTAGCCAATGGGAAGGGTAGCGGTCGTATGCTAATTACCATGTTTCTTTTTTATTAGTGTAGATAGCCTTTCCGCCACAAATCCCTAGTTCGTTTCTCTGCTTCTGATAATGAAACATTTTCTTTGTCAGCTGACATGATGTTGAACCTTGCTAGGGACTTCAGAGGAAAAATGGGCTTCTCTTCCTGCTTCTGGTTCGCTTTCTGTTCTTGTTCCTGTGGTGCTGGGTGGGTGTGTGGGAGAGAAAATGATGAAGCTCACCCTAGCAAGTTCCATGGATGCCCCAGGTGGTTTCCCCAGGGCCAGCTCAGAAACACCCCTGTCACCAGCTTCCTGGCAGTGTCCCAAGGACTGCAATTTGTGGACCAGCCAGCTTCCCTTCAGGTTCCACAGCACTCTCCATCGGCAATTTCCCAGTGAATTTCATCAACAGCCTCAACAAGTGATTCCTGCTAGCCTCAGACTCCTGGTTCCTTTGTGGAATTTTCTGCTTGTCAGTCCTTGTCTGTGACTCCCAGCCTGTAACCCATGGACCAACTCTGACATGAGGTAACCCAGCAAAACATTACATCATTCAGGGGCTGCCTCCTCTCCAAGGAGGTCTGGGCTCAGCTTTGAGGAGCCCTGCCTTCCAAGTCCATGCCTTCCTTGGATACTCTTTCTCAGCATTAGGGTATTCATCAGAGGTCTCTTATTCCCACTTAATAAATAACTAGAAGCCCAGTGCACAAAAATTTGTGCACTTGGGGGCGTCCCTCAGCCTGGCCTGTGCCCTCTCCCAGTCTGGGACCACTGGGGGGATGTCCACCTGCTGGCTTAGGCCCACTCCCTGGGGCATCAGGCCTAAGCTGGCAGTCAGACATCCCTCTGGCAGCCCGGGAGCCCTTGGGGGATGTCCACTTGCCAGCGGGGACCAGGCCTAAGCTGCAGTCGGACATCCTTAGCGCTGCTGAGGAGGTGGGAGAGGCTCCCGCCACCACCACTGTGCTGGCAGCCATCAGCCTGGCTTGTGGCTGAGCAGAGCTCCCCCTGTGGGAGCACACTGACCACCAGGGGGCAGCTCCTGCATTGAGTATCTGCCCCTGGTGGTCAGTGTGTGTCATAGTGACCAGTCATTCCCAGTCATTCCCTGTCATTCTGCTGTTAGGGTCAATTTGATTATTAACCTTTGATTATATAGGATAGAGGCCTGGTGCACGGGTGGGAGCCGGCTGGTTTGCCCTGAAGGGTGTCCCGGATCAGGGTGGGGGTCCCGCTGGGATGCCTGGCCAGTCTGGGTGAGGGGCTGAGGGCTGTTTTCAGGCTGGCCACACCCCCTTCAGGGTGGGGTCCCCACTGGGGTGCCTGGACAGCCTGGGTGAGGGGCTGATGGCTGTTTGCAGGCTGGCCAAGCCCCCCAGCGGGGACCCTCAC